GATAATGTTCCACTTCCCCAACGTGGCTGGTAACACAGCGTCACCTGTCAGAAGGTGGCAAAGCGTCAGGTCAGGGCACACCCACCACGAAACTGCCTCCCCCCCACAGCAGCTCTCAAGCAAGCCTCACAGGGAACAAGCATTCTGAGATTACTGCTACCAAGCGAGGCAGCACGGCAGAGGTCCAAGTCCTGGTTCTCCAACCTACTACCTGTTGTGTGGCCGTGGCAGTTCCTCTCCTGCAAAAGGAGGATGATAAAAATCTCACCTGCAGCTTCCAGGAAAGCTCAGTTATCACTTAGGCCACTAAAATGTACGTTCGATAGCCTAATAATACACGTTCGCTGTCCTGAAGAGGGAAGTGACCGGCTCATCTCTAACTCCCCAAGGAAGGAGCTACCGCGATGCTTGTGGGTGAAGGGGTAACAGCTGGTCTGAATTTAACCCTACACCCAGGGACTCCCGGGATGAGGACCCTCAATTTACCTTCCTGCAATTTCAGGATGTGGTGAGTGGGAATAACTGTGGAATGCTAACTATGCGAGCCAAGGAGACCATACCTGGGTGTCAGAATTATTTACTGTCAAACTCCTGATGGGTATGTGAGGACACTGAGGCTTCCTGGAGAAGTGGTCTATACCCTCTTCACCCTCATTTATTGCAACAGAGAGGGTCCCACACAGAGGAGGGGTCTGGGAGCTACACCTGGGGTGCAGCCGTTGTAAGATCTGAAAAAGGCACCACTGTAAAGTGCCTTTGTCAGTGATGGAGAAAAACCTAGGGAATCCCCTTTCAGACCGCCCGTCGCTAGGCTGCTTAACAAAGACAGTGAGCTCAGCCAACCAAAGCAGAAGCCACTCACGGGAGGCACTGTCACCAAAAATAATCATTTCTCCTTTTCCTCAAAGAGATCTTTAACACTTCCCTATTTGTGGGTTTTTAATGCAAATCTGAATCTTTTAAAATTTAATAGCCCTCACATAAAGCTTTGCTGACACCAAATGTTCAACATACAGCGCGTGGACTTCCAAATGTCAGATTAGCTCTCTGGGGAAGGAAAAGTAAAGAACATCAGGGCATTTCCACGGCTTGGGAAGAAATTAAGACAACTTTGAGAGATTTTCTGAACCAAGGCTCTCCTACAGTCAAGAAATAAAACCACGTTGTTACTCACAGTCACTGCAATAGCATCTGTAATTTAGGAATGTTTCTGAGGGCCCGTATTACCTTTGGATGAAAGCATAGCAAAACTGCAACACAGGAATATCTGCTAGGGGTGATTTCTGAAAATTAAAGCAAAATCGATTACTCCAGGTTGGTAGGAAATAAGGCTAAAGAGGAATTCAAATACAAAATGAAACAGATCTATATCCTAACAAGGGTTATAGCAAAGGGTTTCGACCAAGGAATCTTTTAGCTACAACAACAGACATGATAGCATCCCTCACGTACGATGAAGATAAATGTATCCCATGAGGTCCCAAAGCCTTAGTGCCCCTCTCGGTAGACACAGACAGTGATTCCCGTTCTGTTTAGCTACTGCCCATTCCAGGCTACCAACAAGCATTCAGGGAAAATTTGACATCGTAACTGAACTTCCCCAAACAGAAAGTTGGGGGCCCATGTTGACTCTAACGAACGCATGTGATTACCTAGGGACAAGAGACAAATAAAAATTCTAACTCTTAGTTTAAGAGATTCCCTCAAGCCCAGCCCAGACAACTTCCCTAAATCCTAAGTGGCTGGAACTACTTAAAAACTGGTTCTAAAACATATATATTTTTTCCCTCCTTGCTTGTAAAAAGCTATTTGTAGTAGTGGAGCTAATTCACTCAACTAACCACAAAACGTCATTTTGTTATTTGAATTGCCAAAAACCAGTCAGCCAGATGAGATCTAGTTCCTTTTTAGCCCTGCATAGACTAGAAATGGCAGGTATTTGTAGAAATTCAAGTAATGCAAAGAAACAAAATCTAAAAGTGCCTGCTCTTGGTCTGCAAAAGCTGCTGCGAGAGGACAGCTCCCCGGAGCTTCTGCAGAGGCAAAGCTGGCAGGAGGCAGGGACCACTGCGTGGTGGGTCATTTCCTGACGCCTGAGGCCCGCTCAGCGCCATAAACACAAACTGGCTGAGGGTCTGACTGCCCCACAGTGCCTCCACCCCTGCTCCTCCCTCCCAGGCCCCAGTGACTTTAATATTTATGTACAAGAGTGAAAGGCCACAGGACGACCACATGTTCTTGGGAGGCCTGAGGGCAGACCCCTGACAAAACGACAAATGAGGTTAAGTCCTGAGAGCCCTTTCCCGTCTATTCCTTAGGCAGTTAGCTAGCTCCATGACCTGGCCTCATGGTGTTATGTTAATTTTTAGGGTGGCTTCTCTTCTCTTTCTATACTTTTCCAACCTGGAGTATAGGTGGACTGAGGGCAGGAACTGTGTTTTCACTATTTAGGACCCCGACTCTCAATTGTTCAATAAACAGTGGAATGACAGGATCAGTGCCCTGAGGACAAGGGACGGGCGGAGCCCTCAGGGCCTGGACGCTTTGGGAGGGGGCCACCCTGAGCCGGGTGTGAGGCCCTTTCAGAGCAGTTGCAAAATGGGGCGGGACCACCAAGTGGGGTGCTCTACTCCAAGGCAAGCACGTGTATAAAAACTGCTAAAGAGATTCTGTGATCAGTTTTCCCACTATGAGGTAAAAAATGGCTTAAAAAAAAATTCTGACTCCAAAGTTCAGCTTTTGCTCACCATCCCCAGGGAGATGCCCTTAAAATCTAAAACTATATTCCTTTTTTATGTGATAACGACTTTTTTATTGTGGCAAAATATACATAAAATTTGTCATTTTCAAGCGCACGGCTCAATGGCATTCGGTGTATTCACACTGCTGTACAACCATCCCCACCACCTACCTCCAAACCTTCTCAACAGCCCGAACTGAACGTCTGTACCCATTAAACACTAACTCCCCATTCCCCCTCCCCACAGCCCCGGTAACCACCATTCTACTCTCTGTCTCTATGAACTTGATTGCTCTAGTCCCTCATACAAATGGAATTATACAGTTGTGAATGATACGTGTATATGGGTTTTTGTCCATGGTAACTGGTTCAGAACTCCCATAGACAGTGTTTTGTGATAATGTTGGTGTGCTTTAGGGCTCAGGAAACAGAATCTCTCTCTGACTTTTTCCTTTCATCTGCCCAATTTAGGATTCTAACCTGATTGTGGGTCATAAGACCCTCATTCCAGAGGGTGCTGCCCCATACCCTGGAGGAAGGGATGTTGATCAGAGAGGCCAGAGAATCTGAACAGACAGGCCTTGCTGGTTTCCCCACCCAGTCTGTTAGTATCGGAGCACACACTTTCTGTCCAATCA